TCCAGTCCAGAGAAGATTCTGAGGTAGCACTCTAAGTCAATGAGGATTCAGCAGCTATTTGTATATTATAAGTCACGTAGATAGTACATGCTTGGATTCTGAAATTGTTTGTTTTAGACAAACACCTTGTTTTTCACACATTCCAAAAGTGACAGGGCACCTGTTACCCCTGGTGTCACAAATCCCTATCTTCCCAGGTGCCATCATATCTCATCTCCGAAGTCTGTGCTTTGTTCCCATTCTTCACTAAACCCCATTGCTTTGTCTTTCTTAGCATGATACTTGGTTATATTCACATTCCATTTCCAAATGAAACTTTATGGTTAATGCTGATCCAGCTGCGTTCATTTTTACAGAAAATGTATCTACTGCAACAGCAACTGAGTGTGCTTATGACGCAGTTTAACTAACTTTTATTTTAACCTGATTACTTTCATGAATAAGAATAAATGAAAATGAATCTTAAATGATTGATATGATTATTGCTTATGAAGTTAATTAAAACTCTCAAATTCATTATAATCCCAGCTGGAACCTTATGTGGATATTCAGGTTAATTCATGTCATACCCAAATTTTCCCTAACAAGGCTTTCCCACTTACATTCATCATTCTTCTGTTGCTTTATCTTGCTTCCATCATTTCCAGCTGTCTGGTCTTAGCTGCCTCCTCCTCACCATCACTGTGCAATCCCTTTAGACATCTAACCCTTGTCAGAGTGGCTTGAAAGTTCTCTGCTTCTTCCTTAAGAAGAGGGCTGCACAGTCTCCATCGATCAGCACTCTCCTTCACCTGACTGAGCTTGCTCTCACTTTGAATAATTTCTTCTTTAACTCAAGTCATTTTCTCTACGTCAAAGGCATGGCCATTAGTACCCGCATGTGTCCAGCTACGCCTGTCGCTTTGTAGGGTATGTCAAACATTTCTCGTTCCAGTCCTATTCAGACTTTGTGGAAATGTGTTTTTTTTTTCAGCAATAGGCAAAGTTCTGTTCTGCTAAAAGACTATTTGTGCTTCCTTACTCATGGATTATTCAAGCATTGATCTTGAAGTCACGTTAATAAGAATGTTTACTTATGCAGACTTTCACAATCTCAACACTCAGTTCTCCAAGTTCCTTTACAACATCAGCTTACATTTAGATTTAACTGAAAGAGGCTCTGAGGAATATTGTTTCAACCAGAATATTTTACTGGAATTCTACACTCTAGTAATCATAAAAATATGGTTAATAGTATTTCATTGGCTTAAGAAAACAAACAAAAAGTTGAAAGGATGTTGGGACTTATATGGTTTAAAGTAGAGCCAAGGGGAGTGTTCCCGACCAAAGAGACCTAGGGATGCAGGTGCACAGTTCCTTAAAAGTGGAGTTGCAGGTAAAGAAAGCATTTGGCACACTTACCTACATTGGTCATGACATTGACTGTAGTCATTGGGGTGTCATCTTGCTGCTGTACAGGACATTGGTGAGGCCACTTTTATAATACTATGTACATTTTGATTCACCCTTCTATTGGAAGGATGTTGTTAAACTTGAGAAGGCACAGAAAATATTTACAAAGATTTTGCCAGCACTGCAGGGTTTGAATTATCCATCAGGAGGTGATGGCCTTGCGGTATTATTGCTGGACTGTTAATCCAGAGACCCAGGTAATGTTCTGGGGACCTGAGTTCAAATCCTGCCACAGCAGATGGTGGAATTTGAATTCATTAAAAAAAAAAATCTGGAATCAGGAGTCTAATGGTGACCATGAACCCATTGTCAATTGTTTGGGGAAAAACCCACGTCGTTCACTAATGTCCTTTAGGGAAGGAAACTGCCATCCTTACTGGTCTGGCCTACATTTGACTCCAGACCCACAGCAATGTGGTTGACTCTGGACAATTAGGGATGGACAATAAATGCTGCCTGGTCAGTGACACCCCCAACCCGTGAATGAATAAAGGAAAAAACAATTATAGGGAAAGGCTGAATAAGCTGAGGCTTTTTTCCCTGGAGCCATCAGAGACTGTGGGGTCACTTTGTAGACGTTTATAAAGTCATGAGGGGCATGGATAGGGTGAATAGCTAAGGTGTCTTTCCTAGGTTGGGGGAGTATAAAACTAGAGGGCATTGGTTTAAGATGAGAGGGGACAGATTTAAAAAGGCCCTGAGGGGGTAACCTTTTCATGCAGAGGTGGTGCGTGTATGGAGTGAGCTGCCAGGGGAATTGGTGGAGGCTGGTGCAATTACAACATTTAAAAGGCATCTGGATGGGCGTATGAATAGGAAAGGTTTAGAGGGATATGGGACAAATGCTGGCAAATGGGTCCAGGCAAGATTGGGATGTCTGGTCGGCACGGATGAGTTGGACTGAAGGGTCTGTTTCCATGCTGTACAACTCCATGACTCAATGGCTTATGAATGTTTAGATAGTGAGCACCAATATCAAACTGACAATTGCAGCACCCAGCTTTCAGTTAGAAGTCCAAAAAAAACAGGAAAGGCTCTCGCGTACTTGCAGCTGCATATATCTAGCATCCATCCAACATTTTTCTGTGAAAGTAAGCTGATTGTGAAGGATCCACAGTGACGTGCACCTTATATAAAATTGAAACAATATACTTTAGTAGTTGTTTTACTCAAGAACATTAACAGATCTCCTAATTTGTGGAAATCTTTCTCAGTAATAACTAAGTATAAGAACAAAGTAATCTACTTTTAAACACTATTGATTTCATCTGTAAATGTGGACATGCTAAATAAACTTGGTACTAAGCTAAGATACTAAAAATGTTGCTTTAATTTTGTCTTGAGGTTTCTTCATCTGTGCAACTTCTATTTTGATGAAGTCTTGAAAGAAACCTTGTCATGGAAATAACAGTGTTGATATGGTCTTCATTTCTCTAAATGCCCTCATTATTATAAAATAAAGAACTGCGGACGCTGGAGATCTGAAGCAAAGGCAAAATTCCAAAAGAACCATTCCAATGAAGAGTCACTGGACTCAAAACATTAACTCTGCTTTCGTCCCACAGATGCGGCTAGATGTGCAGAGTTTCTCTAGTAATTTCTGCTTTTACTCTCATTATTATCTTCCTTTGTTTTGTACTACAATCACTTATTTGATTTAATAGTTTTATGTTCGCTGTCATGACACTTTAAGGTTTTAAGGAAAACGGCTAACTCTGTAATCCTCTTCCCAAAGGTGACATTCCTATTATTTTTTAGCATGCTTTTTTTTATACAGGCCCAATTCTTCTGAAATTGGGAGACACTTCCAAATCAACTTGTGTCAATGCTGCATCTCCTGAGGAAGTCTCCAAGTAAACATATTAACACTACTTATAAGGGAAGTTTAAACTTCCATAAACCAGTTTTATACTTTCTGGATTGTTCTGTGATTGGCCAGAGCCAAGGACTCTCAGATTGAAAAAAATGTTTGCCCTATATTTACCCTGGCCTTTATAATGATTTACTTAGATTTTAATTCCAGGATTAAAGGCAGCTGATCAGTGTAGCTGGCACATTAAGGCACCCAGCCCCTCCAGAAATATTTAATAAATATCTTTAAATGTTCACAAATCCATCCCCTTTCCTATCTGCTACACAAACTAACTGTCTCCTTCATCCCTGAGAAACACAGACAGTGCTTACTTCCACTTCCCTGTTCCATACCAAGGACAGTGATCAACCCCTCACCCACATCCTGAACATGGGCAGTGCTCACTCTCCATATTCCCTCTGCGATACTGCTCTACCTAATCTGATCCCTATTTTCCCACTCACACAGCGGAATCCTTGTCTCTTGTCCAGCCAAGTCAATGGGTGTTGAGTGTTGGGCATTTTTGTGTGATGAGGGGGCATGAAGAGGAGGGAAGTGACGCTTGGCACCACCGTTGTAGTGAGTGTGAGGATGGGAGGGTTAGGGTGAGAGGGTGAACCCCTAATGGGGGTGATCACTGTTGGCAGTGAGGGTGCAGCGTGAACACTTTCAGAAGGGTGGGGTGGTGAGGATTCAGGTGAACACTGTTGAGAGGGTTCAGATTCGGTGAACATTGTACGGGAAGTAGTATTCACACTAACCAATGAAATGCCAGTCAGAAGATAATTTAAAATCAGGCCCTTTTTGAAAATATGTTTACTGTGAATCAGAGCTGGACATTGTACTTTACACAGATACCTTGGGTTTTTTTTAAACATTAAAACTTACAATACGGTATCTACTGGCATAACAAAAATGGCTTGGTCTGACTTCCTCAGACTATCTTAAGCGACGAAGGACCAGTTGGATGTTATTGCTGGCAGCCCAAGTGCTGGCCAGAAATGTAGAGCCTGTGTCTCCTCGCAAGTTTCAGGCCCATGGTGTATGCACAGTTTTGCTGAGATAGAACCTCGATTATGCTTCAGGTTTTACTGTTTTGTTTGCAGCCAAACTGAAGCTGTCTCCACAGCTGCTGGGAATATATTTGCAGTTGGAGCTTCACTGCGTATGACTCAAATACGTTCCATGACCATTAAAGGTCGACACATGCTACTTGAAAAGTGGAGAAATTTGCGCGGTGCGATATTTGTAGCAAACACTTCGGTGCAAACTTTCCCCCAGGCCCATTGTGATGGTGTTCTTGCCGAGTTGTAAAAGTTGACTCCTCTTGTTTTACAATCTGATCGCATTGCACTGAATCGATATCGCTCATTTTATACATTTTTTTTCAGAAATGAGTAGTTATTCATTTCTAACATTCCTGGCGTATTATCAGGGTGTTCTATTTGATACAAAATTCAGAACGAAGTGCGGCTGCAACAATTCGAGCAGATGCACCGTTTTTGTTCTTGCAATCGGTCTCACCGCTGTTTCACTCAAGAAAGGCGAGCCGAGACTTTGACAGATAACGGAGATGATGGGGGCAGATGAGCAAGTCGGAATCGACGTCAGTGGGCTGGTGCTGGCCTGTCATAACACACGCTGGTTGGGAGGTGGCGCCACAACTTGTGTTAACACACACTGATCAATGTCTCATGTACCGCGCTTATACCCAAACCCATCTGCACCATCACAAAGCAGGCAGCCAAATAGCTGCTCTCTTCCTTCTCACTCAGAAAGATCTGACCTATCTACACAGGCAGCAAGGTGAGCTGGTAACGTGAATGTTGTTTCCGAATCAAGGAGTTCAATTTCACTGGTATTTGTTCTTGCGATTGCCTTTTGAGAATAAGTCCTATATTTGCAGATGCTGGCTTCTCTGATGGGTGTTTTTATCGCGATTTGCTTCGAAGTTGAAAGCAGGCGACCAGAAACGACCCATGCTGTCAATTTCCTGGATAATGAGAAATGGTTGACCACTGTCTCACAATATGACAAGGAGCTCAGATACTGGAACAAATTCCGAGATGTACGTACCTTAATATCTGGTCTGAAGTGGAGTTCTGTATTTTCTTAGGTTACGGCTGCGGTAATGTAGTTAACACACGCTCTGCCGTTTTACACAATAGAGATGCTGATGCTGCAATTATAGTGAGAAGGAGTGAAAAACACAAACAATCTGATGTTTAAAAATGGTACACACGTTCCCTGATGTAAATAACAAGCTAAACGTAACTGCTCTGAAGCTGATATGTTGAGCCTTTAAATCTCCTACATTTTTGTAGTTTTGTTAGTGCAGTGCATGTTATTTATGTATTTTCTAGTGTTCTGTTAGGGTTTAATAGTTCTGCTATTGAGCACAAAACCCCCTTTTTACGCCTTGATGTAAAACATAGCTAGAACCTTTAAATTCAAGTCAGCTTCACATGAAATGGTCAAAAAAATTCAGGTTGCATATCCATTCTTGATCAATTCAGTTGCTATTTGTAATCACGCTAAAATGTATTGTGGAACATTTAGGGGCATGGAATACTGCGTGTGGTCTAAAAATGTGTATCATAGCTTGTAGCAAATTTTCATTATTCTTGACACATTGAAAAAGAACTTTTATTGAAATCGCAATATTGTATCTGTAGAGTGTGTACACTGAACTATTGTGGAATATGATCTGTCCCATGAGTGGGTTGATTGACTCATGTATGCCTTGATGGTCAGTTTCATTTAAAGCATAAATCAAATCTGATGGTATTTGTTGCATAATTTCTTCTCAGGATGCTTCGAAATGAATGTGTCAGTCTTAAGTTTGTACGTTGATTTTTAAGTAGTTCTGATCGGATCAGTATAAATTGGACCAGCTCCCTACCCAAGTTCTGCTCTGCTTGGACAGCCCCTCAGGATCTGGGGTAACTTGTTTCAATTCTAGATTGATGGCTTCCGCAATGCCTGTTGAGTGCAGTGTGCAATCTGCAGACTCTGCCATGTGTCTGCTATGTGGTGTAAGAAGAATTGGATGGATGGCTTGTTTGTAGGTTTGTGTACACCTCCTGATACCTCAGCTTTGTCTTTGCAGGTACCAGACAAGGTGTTTGTTATCTTCCCAAATGAGCCTTCTCTATTTTGATTGGACACATGCCAGGGACTCCCATGAATCAGCTGGAATGATTGATTTCTTCAGGGGTGCTTTGAAGATATTTCCAATGTCTTTCTGGGTGTTCCCCACCAAGACAGAGTTCTAAGAACTTGCTTTGGGAGTCTGGTTCTGCCGAAATACTGTGCAGTTTTAATTTGTGACAGTATGTACAGATAACACTGTACTTTTTTGTATCTGATAATTGATATCTGAAAGAGGAAAGGGAATTAATGGGAGATAGTTTATGCAGGTGTTTGGCAGTATATTTAAATCACGAAGCTGGTATTGAATCAAAGTGGATTTTACATTGCAGCGATGCAAAAAATCAAAATTGAGGCAACGGTCAATGTGGTTCCAGAGCCTTGTTAAATGAGTCTGCCTCCTTCATGTCGTCACTTTTAACTTGTTATAACGTAGGAGTTAGAAGCATGATTAGGCCACGCAGCCCCTCAAGCCTGCTCCAGCATTCAATAAGAGTTTTTCTAATTTAATTGCTCCACATTCCCCATTATCCTGATGACGTTTCACCCCTTTACCAATTACTATCTCACCTCCTTATCAAATTTCAAATTTGGTTTCTTTCACAGAATTTGGGGGTGTTATATTTATGCTATGATACCATGTCGTGTCTGTATAACCTAGAACAATTCACCTCCACCTTCCAAATCCCATTTGTCTTTGTCCATGTTTAGTTTCAGTGTTTTATCCATTTTTGAGACTAGATTAAAGGAAAATAAATTTCAATCAAGGCTTTTAAAAATAATATCTACCTGGTGTTATGACCAGGTGAGGAAGCTAAATCAGCTTGCCTTTATTTTCAACCCTACCCCCAACCAGTTGCAACAGATATTGTTTCTTTGCAGCATGCAGCTATCACAAAAATCAAATGTAGTTCAGGAAAATGAAGGAGTCAATTACCAAGGCTTTTTTTTTGGATGAAAGAAAGAGGAATTTTATTACCTCCTAAAACTGAGAAAAGTAATTTTAAAATGACATCATGTATACATACAAACACAGGTAATGAGTTTGTTTTTTTACAAAAGAGTGATACAGATAGGGAGAAATAAGGCAACACCGTGGAAGAGTTACTACAGTTTTGGAGAAGTTAGATTTTAAACTTGCAACTACCATTGATTGATTGTTGACATGTAGCCATAGCAGTAGCAGAACACATAGGTGTCTTGAAATTCTGGTAAATATTTGTTTATACAAGTTGCTTTTTCTCTTGGTGCCGATTTCCAAGATGAGAGAACCAGACAAGGATAAACAATTGCAGCTGTTGTTGTCAATTGATTCATTTTCATTCTCACTGCTTTGTTGCACAAAAGCAGCGGTTGAAATATAGTCAGTGTATATTCCTGGTGTAATTTCATTGTCTTTCGAGCTAGCTAACCAATGATGAGTCTTTCATCTTACTGCATCTGATATTATTATAACTGTGTGAAGAAACACAAGAAATAAATTTCTTGAAGCTGACAGAGTAGCCTAGTTTTTAATGTATTTAGATAAAAATGGTAATTTCAGTACAGATGGTTTAATTTATTCCATATGGACTCATGAAGCTTGCGTCAATGTAACCACTGCAGTCATTTTAGGTCTCTGTTTCTTCCTTTCTAAAAACTATTTGAATCCATGAAAGGCTGCATGTATGACAATCTTGTGGTAAAAGTTCAAATTTAGTAGTCGATATTTACCATGATTGTAAAACATTGCTGCCCTGAAGAACAGCAGTGAACAATGTCTGTCCTTTTTTTCTTCAGTGGCTATTCCATTGCAGGGCCATTCTGAAATAACAGTACAAGGATGGAGATGACAACATACACACATTCCACTTTTTACTCTCTTTAGCCTAACCTGGGTTATACACCTACTTTGGGACTAGCAGCTGCACTTGTTCCCATCTCCCCAAGTTTTTACATTTCACTGCCGATTTCTATAACCCATGTACCAGATTATGATATTTTGACAGATTTGATATCCAGTAGGTTGTAATGTGTTTTTTTTTCCCTCGTAGGATGTCTTTACTGCATCCTGCACTTCACTCTTATTCAACATTGCACTAACTCAATTGGACGAGTTAAACATGATTGTGTTCCTTCTCCAGTGGGTAACTCAGTTTTTAACTCACTGTTATGTCTCTGCTGGTCTGCAGCAGTGCTGTCTGTTATGGGGTAGGTTCCTTTTCCTGTTCCCTTTGGTCTAGAAATTTATTTTACCCTGTTCCATTTTCCCTGGAACACTACTGCTATCAGTTGGATGTTCAGCTTTTGATATAGTTCCCTGTGTATCTTCCACACAATGAGGCTTCACTTTCATTTTCTCCTGGCCTGTCTCAGAACCCCTCTGATTCTCCATAAAGCTATGCATTTTCCAGATCTGTCTTTGACCTGTCATCTTTTGTCACCTTCCTTGGCCTTTTCTTGCCTTTTTTTTGATAACTATTGGCATGTTCTCAGCCCTGTTTAATTCAAGTGACACTGTCTAAGCCACCTGATACCTCATGGATTTTACTGCCTGCTGTGGGACTTCCAAATCTTTTTCTCTTTCAGGTCTTTCAGCTGCTTGCTGCTGGCTTTCTCCAATGTTTCAGCCTCTCAATTGTCCTTTTCTGATTGGCAAAAGCCTAATTATTCCTCAATAAGATGTCTATCCCTGGCATCGAGAAACTTGGGATTATCCTACTGTTACCAGACCTGTAACGACTACACTGTCTAAGTAAACATTAACAATTGGCAACTCTATACTATTTCCCATGAGACTTTTTTAAAATCACCACAATGGAACTTACTTTGCTTCCAAGTGGGAAGTCTTTTCTTTTTCCCACTAACATATAAGAGAACCTAACATATAAGAATGCTGATTTTTCTCCCTGGCTGTTTGAAATAGTCAGAGTGCCCTTGAATACAGTCTACTGACTGCTATCCTGGTCAACAGTGATACCTGAGCAGAAATTGGCCACCTTTAATGTTACAGATACTGATTTGTAGCTTGAGTTTCTGGGGAATGTTGGAACCAAGAATTTCCCTTCACATTTCCAGCAGTCCAGTTTGGACAGTGTCCCACCTGTTTCCCATCAGATCGCTTAACATCTGGGGCAGTTCTGTATTCTCTGCCTGGTTTCCCATTTCTTTCCAGCATGCCTCAGAAATATTTACCTGACCTTGATCTCACCATGTTCTGTGATGGTTCCCAGACCCCAGTTTCTCAGAGTTTAGGGGTTTACGTGCTAACTCTTAGTCATTAGCTAGAACTGATGCCTGCCTGAGCCATGCTACCCTTCATTCTTATAAGTGTGTCTGGATTAGTTTAATAAGTGTATTGAATTTTTGGACTCCTTGAAGAAAAATATGTTTTGAAGGTTTTCATGGCTAGCCTCGATTTTATTTGCCTACTGGTCAAAAGCGAGCGGCTAAAGTCATTCAAGTTCTGGGTATGTTTGGTCAGGCTGTTTTGAGGGTGTAATTTTTTGCCTCTGGTGCTAACTAGTATGCATTTAAAATAGCCCCTATCATAGCCAATGACACTGTCCTCAGGTAAGACAGCGTAAACATTGACCTTTCCTTGTCAACCTGCTCTATCATGGCTCTATTTCAGACTGGCCACTTTAACTGCTGTGCTAACCTTTCCAACCCAATAAAGAGAGCATCTACCTTTCCTTTACCAAACATGGGAGTTAAATGGACAAATGGCTCAGTGGTCAGTGCTGCTGCCTCACAGCGTCAGGGACCTGGGTTTGATTCCACCTTCGATCGACTGTCTGTGTGGAGGTTGCATGTTCTCCTTGTTCTGCATGGGTTTCCAGCAAGTGCTCCGGTTTCCTCCCACAGTCCAAAGATGTGCAAGTTAGCCGGCCTGTAGGTTAGGTAGGTTGGCTATGGGAAATGCAGGGTTGCAGGGAC